AGAGGTCTTGTGCAGCAGATTTGCTTAATGCAGTGCATCGTTTGATTTTTTGACTGTCACTTCCATGAGTGTTGATGATGGATATAGCAAAATGAAGTCTCTGACAACTTCCATCTTTTCTCGTTTATCATATTATTTATTGCTCCATTGGTGAGGATTGTTGTTTTCTTTACATTGAGGTGAACCCATATCAAGACTGTGGTCTTTGTTCTTCACCAGTAAGTGTTTTAAGTCCTCTTGACTTTCAGCAAACAAGGTTGTATCATCTGCTTATCGTAGGTTGTCAAGGAATCTTCCTCCAATCCTGATGTCATGTTCTTCTCCATATAATCCAGCTTCTTGGATTATTTGCTCTGCATATAGATTGAATAAATATGGTGAAAGAATACAGCCCTGGTGCACACCTTTCTTAATTTTAAACCATTCAGTGCCCCCCTTGTTCTGTTTGAACGACTGCCTCGTGGTCTGTGTATATACATCATGAACTCAGTTAAGTGTCTGGAGTGGTGTTCTCCATAGTGTTGACCATAGCTTGTTGTGATCCACAGAGTGAAAATCCTTTGCATAGTCAGTAAATCACAGGTAAATATCTTTCTGGTATTTTCTGCTTCAAGCCAAAATCCATTTAACTTCAGTGATATTCTTCATTCCATGTCCTCATCTTGAACCTCTGACAATTCTCTGTCAATGTATTGTTGCAGCCATTTTTGAATTCTCTCTAGCAAAATTTTAATTGTTATAGTAATGATTTTGTCCAATGATTTCTACATTCTGTTAGATCATCTGTCTTTGAAATGGACACCAGTATGGATCTCATCCAGTTAGTTGGCCCCGTAACTGTCTTCCATTTCTTGGCATAGACGAGTGAGTGCCTCCAGTGCTGCATCAGTTTGTTGAAAGATTTGAATTTGTATTCCCATCAATTCCTGGAGCTTTGTTTTTTTCCTAATGCCTTCAGTGCTCACTGTGCATCTTCCTCTAGTACCATTGGCTCTTGATCATATGTTCCCTCTTGAGATGGTTGAACATCAACCATTTCTTTTGTTACAGGGACTGTGTATTTTTTTGTTTGTTTTTATTGTGATTTGTGTGAAAGTTCACAGGGAAGATCATCAGTTTTACATTAAATCATATGCTTTGTTTCATTACTATGATTAAAATCCCCTCCATGTCAACAGTCTCCCTCTCTATTCATTTTAGGTTTTTTTTTTTTTTTTTTTAATTTAAAAACACTCAGGCATATATAATAATTTAAACCACTAAAGGGCACATCTGCAAGTCTACCTCCTGGCCGCCATCTCTCTTTCCATGAATCTAGAGTCCTTAGCTGCTCTCTCTCTCCATCTCTGCCTCCATCTCTGGTGTCACTGCGTCTCTGGATAGGGTCCCGCATTCTGCTTGTGCTCTTCTTCCTTGATGGACCTAGTGTCCTCAGTTCCTGGAATGTAAGATTATCTACTTCCCCGTTTTTGTTACAAAACTTCTACCGTTAAAATTGTGACAGTCTCAATTAGTCATGATAACAGTTACTCACTGTTGAATCTTAAGAATCGTGTCTCTATCTCTTTTTACCAGACCCATCTAGACAAGATGAAAACTATTCAATGGGGACTCTATATTCCCACACACACTCTGAAACTAAACTCCCTCTTGAAACCTTATAAGCCAGTCACTTCGTGCCTTTATCGCTCCCTCATTTTAGGTAGCCAATGTGTAAGTCCTGGTGTGGCGCTCTGGGTTAATGTGCCAGACTGCACACCCGTTTGAACTGCAAGATTGGCGGTTCAGGCTCACCAGCTGCTCCTCGGAAACCCTATACAGGGTCGCTATGGGTCGGAACCGACTCTATGGCACTTAACAACAACAACATCTAAGTTGCCTGTTCTTGTCTACCCTGTATACAGAGGAGATAGAATTGATACTTGATGTGAATACTCCTCCCCTTTCTTGGTATTTTGAGCTACTGAGCTCTGGTAGCGTAGTGGTTACGAATCGGGCTGCCAACCTTAAGGTCAGCGGTTTGAAACTACCAGCCGCTCCACGGGAGAAAGATGAGGCTTTCTGCTCCCGTAAGGATTTACACCCTCGGAAACCCTGTACAGGGTCGCTGTGGGTCGGAACCGACTCTAAGGCACTTAACAACAACAACATCCATATGTATAGGTCGAGTTCATTAAATTGTAGCAATTTACCCTCCTTTCCTTTATGACTCTGGACTCTTTCCATCTTCTTTTGATTCAATATTTAATGTTTTGTCCAAATAATCCTAAAGTATTGCAAGTCGAGGCTTGAATTTTTTCACAGTTCTTTTAGCTTAAGTGATGCTGTACATGTTCTTCCCTTTGGTTTTCTAACTCTAGGTCTTTGCACATTTAATTTTAATACTAGACTCTGCACTTCGTGATCTGCGCTTTGAAATTTTCTGTCCACCTTTTACTTCATCTATTTCTTCCAGTTATTTCAGGTTCCCTACATTCAAGAGCATGTTTCTAACTCTCTTCTGACATCCATTTTGATTTTTTCTTTCTTCCTCATCTTTTAGAATGACCTTTTTCTTTCTTCCTGTATGATGTTCTTGATGTCATCCTACAATTCTTCTGCTTTTAGATGGTACACTTATTAAGTGCCCTCGAGTCGTTTCCGACCCATTGCGACTTTGTGTAGGGTTTCCGAGGAGCAGCTGGTGAGTTTGAACCACCGACCTTGCCGTGCAAACAACCTTGTGGTCCAGTGCATTTATCCCACAGTGCCACACCAGGACTCTAGATGGATACTTATCACCTAAATAGTTCTTGAATTCATCCACTTTTCTTCATCTTCACTATAATCTCATTGTTGTTGTTAGGTGCCATCGAGTCGGTACCAACCCATAGCGACCTTATGCACAGCAGAATGAAACATTGCCCGATCCTGGGCCAACCTTACTACCGTTGCCACGCTTGAGTCCATCGATGCTGCCACTTGACCAATCCATCACATTGGGGATCTTCTAGGCCAAAGTTTCTTGACCTCGGCACTATTGATATTTTTTTGTTGTTCTTTGTTGGATTTCCAAGGCGTGGCTAATTGTTTGAACCACTGACTTTGTAGTTAGTTATATTTGAGGAGGGATAATTCTGTACTTGGAGTTCTGCTGTGGCGTTGTGGATTAATGCGCTGGACTGCAGAGTTGATTTGAATGACAAGGTCGGTGGTTCAGGGTAACCAGCTGCTCCTCAGAAACCCTATACAGGGTCGCTATGGGGTGGAACCGACTTGTCAGCACTTAACAATAACAATTTCTGTACTTTGGAGCACTACCCTGTGCATTTTAGAATTAACAGGTGTGACACTGTAGGGTAAGCACTGGACTGCTAACCACAAGGTCGGCAGTCAACCCTACCAGCCTCTCCTCGGAAACCCTGTACATGGTCACTAAGAGTTGGAATCAACTCCATGGCACTTAACAACAAACAACAACTTGCTTCTACTACTAACACCAGTAGTACACCTAACTCTCCAGACACTGCCAACTGTTCTGTGGAGGGGCAACCTCCGATCCCCCATGTGAGAATTAATATTTATAAGATATTATCACCTCCTATTTGAACTATTTCTGTGTCTTCCTTAATGAATTGTTTCATACTCTACTCTTGGATCCAATCTGCATACACTAGTCAATGAAATCTCAGAGAACAAATAAGGAATCTCCTCAAAGCACAAAAATGAATTGTCATAAATTGGAATCAACCTGAATGTCCTAAGAGGTGAATGGATTAACATTGTAGCACATCTGTATGTATGTTTTTGTTGTTATGTGCCATGGAGTCAGTTCCGACTCATAGCAACCCTGTACAGGGTTTCCGAGACTATAATTCTTTATGGGAGCAGAAAACCTCATCTTTCTCCCACGGAACAGCTGGTAGTTTCGAACTGCAGACCTTGAGGTTTGTAGCCCGATTTGTAACCACTACGCTACCAGAGCTCCTTTCTGTATATATAAGGGAACACTATTAAGCAGAAAACTGTTCAGCAATAAAAAAGAACCAAGTAGTGATACATTCAACAATTTAGTTGGATTTCAGTGGCATTCTTTTTTGTTGTTGCTCTGTTGAGTCTGCTCATCCTGCAGCACTATACCAACTGCCATACTGCAGTAAGCTCTGGCAGTTACTGATTATGTCTTTATCTTGATCATTTCCTGGTTTCATACAGTATATAACCTTTGGAAGTCCTGGTGGGATACTGTGGGTTAATAAGCTGGACTGTGAGATTGGCGGGTCAAGCTCACCAGCTGCTGCTTAGAAATCGTATACAGGGTTGCTGTGGGTTAGAACAGCACTTTTACAACAACAACAGCATAACCCTTTGGGTTTGACATTTTTCACTCAGCAAAGGCTTTCTGCTCCTGTAAAGATTTATAGCCTTCGAAACCCTGTGTGGAGTCGTTAGGAGTCTGAGTTGATTAGATTGCAGTGGCTTTGAAGCTTGGAAAGTGGGAAATTGATGGGTTTATCAAGTTAAACACATTTTGATTTTTTATCTTGTAGAGTGACCCTTTATAGAAGGATGAGAAAGTCTTCAAATATATAATAAATATTTTATCTTCTTTTGAATATAATAAAATGTAGGCATTCTTTTTGATAGAAATTAGTAACTTGCTATAAGAAATAATGGAGTCCTGGTATGGTGCTATAGGCTAATGCATGGTACTGCAAGATTAGTTTGAACCTCAAGGTCGGCAGTTCAAGCTCACCAGTTGCTCCTTGGAAACCCTATACAAGGTTACTGTAGGTCAAAACTGATTCGACTGCACTTAACAATAACAAGAACATAAGAAATATATTGTATAATTAATTATATTGTTAACATAAAATTATTTCCCACTTGTAAAGTATGTGTGTGGAAGTGTCATAGACGATTTGCACATTATCACTTTTCATAGCTGATTTGTTCTTTTTATAAGCATTAAAAGCACACTTTTGGTTTCGGTGTAATATTACATTTTTACTTTTTTAGAGTGTACTGTTATTGAAGGAAAATGATGGAAGAGAGTGGAATAGAGACGACACCACCTGGGACTCCTCCACCAAATCCTGCTGAGCTGGCTGCTCCCGCTATGTCTTCCACACCAGTTCCTTTAGGTACATGAACTTGTCTAGCATCTAGCCAGTTTTGAGTATATGTGAATATTATTTTCTATCCCCAGCGTCACATGAAAAAATGCGTATATTAAAGCTTTTCCAATCTTTATCAGAATGAAGAAAAATCGTTTTTTTTCCATCTGAACCATCACTTGTTTTGTTTTAGGTAGACTTGTTCTTTCGATTCATGTTGACTATACAGTAACAAAAAATATACTAAAAAGCATTTGTTAGCTTTGTCTAATTTTCTATTGATTTTGTGGTGATTAGCCTTCTTACTAAAGTTTTAAAGCCTTCAGTTTTATGTTTTTATGTTCAAATCAGCAGAGACAAAAGGCTTAATTAAAAATAATACCCAAACAAATAAAAACATACACCCCCCAAAAAAGCAGAGGTCTATTTATGAAGTGTTATAACTTAATGTCTGTAGCTGCTTCATATACTTTAAATAGGAATTGGAAGTATTTTGCACTGTGTCATATTTGTTGTATAGTTTAAATTTTAGAAATAATTCTTGGAGTATGATCTGTTAATTTTGAAAATTTTGTAAAGAGTTAGGAGATTGTTGAAAACTGAATAAAAAGTCATTCTGATTTTGTGGGATTTTTTTTCTTCCTCCCTCTTTTTCCTAGCTGCAACCAGTTCATTTTCTTCTCCAGATGTATCCTCTCTGCAGTCCGTGCCACCCCACGCATACTCTACCCCTCAGCCACCCTTTCCTCCTGTGGCTCCTTCAACGCCATTACCTTTTGTGCCGCCTTCACCGGTTCCTTCTGCTGCACCACTTGTTACGTCCGTACCACCTCTTGGTTCTCTGTCATCGGCTGCTGGCCTCAGTAGTCCTCCTTTATCCCACTTCCCACCTTCAACTTCAGCCCCAACCTCTCTTTTATCTGCTCCCTCTTCAAGTCCTCCTACATCAGGATTTTCTGTTGGTTCAACTTATGACATTACAAGAGGTCATGCAGGAAGAGCCCCCCAGACACCCCTGATGCCATCATTTTCTGCACCTGCAGTAACAGGTAATTCTTACTTGTTCTTTGTTCTTTGAATTAAATGTCTATGTTGTTGTTGTTTGTTGCTAGGCGCTGTTGAGTTGGTATCGACTCATAGCAACCGTATGCGTAACAGAACGACAGTCCTGCATCAACTTCATACTCATTGCTACACTTGAGCCCATTACTGCTGCCACGGTGCCTGTCCATCTTGTTGGGATTCTTCCTCTTTGTCGCTGACCCTCCACTTTACCAAGCATGATATAAAGACTTCCCCAGGTCCCTCCTGACAATATGTCTGAAGTAAGAGACACGAAGTCTAGCCATTCTGGCTTCTAAGAAAATGCTGGCTGTCCTTCCAACACAGATCTGTTTGTTCTTTTGGCAGTCCACGGTATTTGGAGTATTCTCCTCCAACACCATAGCTCAAATGCATCAGTTCTTCTACGGTCTTCCTTATCCACTGTCCAGCTTTTGTATGTATATGAGGTTATTGAAAATACCATAGCTTAGGTCAGGCGCACCTTAGTCCTCAAACTGACATCTTTGCTCTTCAGCATTTTAAAGAGGTCTTGTGCAGCAGATTTGCCTGATGCAACACATAGGTTGATTTCTTGACTGCTGCTATAGGTTATGTTTTGTTTTTTCTTATAATCACTTTGTTGAAGTATAATTTATAAGGTAAAGTGTACAATTCAATCAGTGGTTTTTATTATACTCTTAGTTCCACTACAATTAATTTTAGAATCTTTCATTGTACCTAAAAGAAACTCTTTACCTTATCAGTCACACTCCCCTTTCCTCCAATCCTCCTAGCCCTCGGCAGCCACCAATATCTACTGTCTGTCTCTATAAGTCCCCCAACCAAATTTGGTTACTATTGGACTAATTCGGACTTAAAGCTACCTGATAGGACAGAGAGAACTGCCTCCATAGAGGTTCCAAGGCTATAATCTTAAAGCATGCAGACCACCACATCTTTCTCTCCCAATGAGTAGGTAGTGAATTTGAACTGCTGACTGACTAGAATTACTAAATTCTTAAAAAACACAAATTCTTCAGTTCCTTCAGGTCAGTTCTGACTCAGCAGTCCTGTATAGGGTTTTCCCAGGAGTGGTTGGTGGGTTTGGAATGCCGACCTGTGATTAGCAGTCTAGTCCTTGGTTCTGTTGTGTATTATTTTAGTGTTGTGCATTATTCTAGTATTTTGTTCTGTTGTACATTATTCAGTCTAGTATTTATCTTACAGCTCCATACCAGAATTCCAAAGACACAATTAGGTAATCCAAGGACTGCGTTTATTTCATTCCTTTTTGTGGGATCTGTAGGATAAAGCACTGAACTGCAAGGTTGGTTTGAACAAGGTCAGTGGTGCAAACCCACAGGCCCCTCCTTGGAAACCCTATTCAAGGTTGCTGTGAGTTGGAACCAACTTGATGGCACTTGACAATAACATGTCGTGTGAATATACCACATTTTGCTTACTTATCAGTTAGTGGAATTAATGCAAGGACAGGTAAAGAAGTGGAAAATACAGCCCAGAGAGTGATCTTAAAATACAGATCTTAAAATGCAATCTAGTAACTAAGATAAAGCTGACATAATGAATCACTAACGATATGGAATCCTGGTAAGGTGCTGTAGGATAAGCACTGGACTGCTAACCACAGGGTAGGCAATTCAAACCCAGTAGCTGCTCCTTGGAAACCCTACACGGGCCACTATGAGTCAGAACTGACTCAACAGCACTTACCAACAACAAAATACACAAAACGTTCTTGTGTATCATACTTGATGGTATTGAGTCATTTCTTTTGTCAGGTACTTACACATATTGTGTTTTGACACAAATAACGTGTTATACTTTTTTTTGCAATGCATACGATCCCTTAAGGGCTAGCTTCCTATGCATGCTATGGGCATTTTATTCATGTGTGTGTTGTATATGGAAAATATTGTGCTTTTTTTGCTTTCATGGAATGATTATTGGAAACCATTTATAACATCTCCATACTTGTCATCTTCTGCCTATTAATATTGAGGAAAGGAGCAACTGTTAGGATTTGTCTTAATCCAACTTTACTGACTTAACTTTATGAAGAAAGTTTATTGCATAATATAATATTATTCCCATGTTTATATTTATGTGGATTTTCTCATTGAGTTAAAATTAGCTATATGAGATACGGAGTTGGTTCAGACTCATAACGACCCTGTGTACGGTTCCCAAGGAGTGGCTGGTGTGTTTGAACTGCCAACCTTATGGCTAGCATTCTAATGTGTTATCCTATAGTGCCATACCAGTAATCATTGTAAAAAATTTTTATGAGGGGTTTGGGTACCTACATTAATTATTTTTTATGCATTAAAGAGTTCAGAACTGTAGCTATTAATATCTAAGTCCTAAAGAGAACAAATGTAAAATACTTTTAACGTATCTTTTATGTTTGCTTTCAGGGCATTTGGTGCAAATCTATGAAAAGGGAAAGTTGCTGTTTTATAATCTGCTTAATTTTTATGTTAAGATTTGGGTGGCATTTTGGCTTCATAGTGCTCTTTAGGTGCTTGAGTGTATATTTATTAAAGCTGTGTTGAACTATTCATGTGTTTCTTTTTGTACGAAATAGTTTATGATATAATTTATGCATATTAAAAATTACTGTCCTTAAATAGGTATTTTGCCAACTCCTATTACTCAGCAAGCCAGCTTGACATCTCTTGCACCAGGAACTGAAGCCCCATCAGCCATTACTTTTCCAGAGGAACAAGAAGACCCTAGAATTGATAGAGGTCAGGAAGAAGTATCTGCTGGTGGAATCTGGGGCTTTATTAAGGTAAGAGGTAATTACTTTAAACAATAGGTTTGATTTTTTAATTGTAAGAGTAAGATGTTCATTAAGGAAAATTTTGACAATTCAAAATGGTATAAGGAAAAAGTAATCCTCATTTTTATTGCCCATTTTTTGTAATTCCTCTCAAAGTTTGGTTTATTCATATCTGGGTAGGTGTACCTCATTTTTAATAAAACCCAAATTGGAATAATGACATATGTGGCCACTGTTTTGTGTCATTTGTTGTTAGAAACAAAACAAACCCTTGCTCATGAACTTCTTCCTAGTCATGAAATACTCTTTGGAAATGTGATTTACAAAAAAATTATACCTGCTTTGCCCTATATGCCACTAAATGTATTCCCGTATTTTATGTCACTCATCAGCTATGGGCTTATTCTAATTGTAACAACTATCTTACCAATTAAGCTATGATGAGTACTCTTGTTCACAAATCTTTTTACATCTCTGTTATTGTTGTTTTTAAGTACTGTGGAGTCGGTTCTGACTCATAGTGACCCTGCACAGGGCTTCCGAGGCTGCAAATCTTTATGGGAGCAGAAAGCCTCATCTTTCCCCGAAGAACGGCTGGTAGTTTTGAACTGCTGACCTTGAGGTTAGCAGCCCGATTCGTAACCACTTAATCAACTTTAATTCTTGATACATTTCAGAAAGTGAAACATTTAAAAATTATTGATACATACTACTCTCCAGGAAGGTTGTTGGTGATGTGCTGTGGAGTCGGTTCCGACTCATAATGACCCTGCATAGGATTTAGAGCAAAATATATTGTCACAGACGTAGTTTTGCCAAAACTGACAGTTAATTTGGAAAACAACCTTTTTTTTTTGTGATTTGATAGGTTAAAAAATAATACCTTGTTTTAATTCACATTATTTTGCTGCTGAATTTGAATCTTTATTCTTGTGATTTTTGGGCATTTGTATTTTTCTCTTATGAATTCTTGGTTAAAGTTTTTTGCTGGTTTTAAATTGAGATGATTTCCATAACAATTTATATAAGTGCTCATAATTTATCAAATATATTTATATTACTGTATGTTGTCATTTTTTTTTTTTTTCATTTTAGTGTATATTTTTGGTTAATTTAAAGTTTTTTTTACACTCTTTTCCCTCATTTATTTTGTTGTTTATTTTTAGTCTGAAAAACATTTTGTATCACAATGTATAAAACTTTTTTATATTTTTTCTTCTAATTCTTTAATGGTTTTGTTTTTTGCACTTAAAAATTTAATGTAGCTGAAATTTATCTTATTGTACACTACGTAATAGAAAAGGAACCCTCGCAGCATGGAGGATTACAAGTTGGCCTGCTAACTGAAAGGTCAGCTGTTCTAATCTGTCATTCACTCTTTGGAAGAAAGATGAGGCTTTCTGTTCCCGTACATATTTACAACCTTGGGAACCCTATGTGGGGTCACTATGAAACAGAACAGATTTCATGACATGCAACTACCACCACTACCATGAAGTGGTGGTGGTGGTTATGTGCCGTGGAGTCAGTTTCGACTCATAGCGACCCTGTACAGGGTTTCCAGGTTGTAAATCTTTATGAGAGCAGAAAGCCACATCTTTTCTCCCATGGAACAGCTGGTAGTTTAGAACTGCTGACCTTGTGGTTTACAGCCTGATTTGTAACTGCTATGCTGCCTGAGCTCCTTACCATGAAGTAGAAGTCCAATTTAATTTTCTTCCAACCAGCTAATTGTTGCAACATCATACCCAACGTTTTGTCCTTGTTGGTAAGTGCTGTTGAGTCAGTTGTGACTCATGGCCACTGTGTAGGGTTTCTGAGGAGGAGCTAGTGGGTTTGTATTGCCTACCATGTGGTTAGCAGTCCAGTGCTTATCCTACAGCACCTTACCAGGATTCCATATCATTAGTGATTCATTATGTCAGCTTTATCTTAGTTACTAGATTGCGTTTTAAGATCTGTATTTTAAGATCGCTCTCTGGATTGTATTTTCCACTTCTTTACCTGTCCTTGCATTAATACCACAGTCTTAATTATTGTAACTATGTTCATTTATCACACTAATACTTATTGAAAGCTTTCTATGTGCTGAGATGGTGACAGAGCATATTCATTAATGAATAGATACAAAAGTCTGTTCTAAGTCTCGGTGTTTTTAAAAATATAGCAGTATTTGGATTTACAAGGAGCCCTGGGAGTGTAGTGGATTATGAGCTGGTATGCTAGCCACAATTTGGTAGTTTGAATCTACCAGACGTTCTGCCTAAGAAAGATGAGGCTTTTTGTTCTCCTAAAGGTTTACAGCCTTGGAAACCATATACAGTATTGCTATGACTTGGAACTGACTAAGTGGCACATAACCACCACTATGTGGCCTTTTAAGTTTGCACATTTTTGTTTTCTTCATTTTTTCTTCTCTAGTCTTTCTATTTGCATTTGCCAGTGGATTTTGGAATCATTCTGCCAAGTTTCCCACCTATATTTTGTTGTGGGTGTGAGTCAGTTCCCACTCAATAGTGACTCTGTATAGGGTTTCCAAGGAGATACTGGTAGGTTTGAATTGCCAACCTTGCTGTTCAAACTGACTTTATGGTTGAGTGCTTACTAAACAGTGCCATACCAGGATTCTGGGCTTTATGTTTCAGGAATATGCATTTTCCTAAGCTGCCTTTTTATTTTCTTTTTAAATAATAGTGTGCTTTTGATGAAAGTTTACATGGCAAATTAGGTTCCCGTTCAACGATTTCTGTACAAAATGTTCAGTGACACTAATTACATTTTCCATAGTGTATGAATAATATCTTTGTCCTGTGTGTTTGTTTACAGTAAGTGTCCCGGACCCCTTGCCTTCTTATCATTGTTTTATAGTAATGGTTGATTGCTTTGGTCTCATATACCACACTCTTAATTATTATAACTGATATTTTTTATAGAAGTACAGTATTCATGGGTGATACTCTGTTATTTTCTAAGCCAATCTGTTATTTAGGTAAAAGATGACCTCTGGAGACAGTTTCAGCTCAAGATTGAAGGAGTATCTGAAGGCAGTAGTCTTAGGTGTGTCCTGTCTTAGATTTTTTAAGAATTTGAGGGTCCTTTCCACAATTTTTTCCATTCTACCAGGATCCATTAATTGTGTCCTGATCATAATAAAACTAGTGGTCAGGAGGCATCATCTAATTTTGTGGTCTCAGAGTAGATAAGGCCATGGTTCTTGTAGATATTAGTGCTGTTGTTGTTGTTGTTGTTAAGTGTCGTCGAGTCGGTTCCGACCCATAGCAAGCCTGAACAGGGTTTCCGAAGCTGTAAATCTTTAGGGGAGCAGAAAGCCTCATCTTCTCGCGCAGAGCAGCTGGTAGTTTTGAACTGCTGACCTTGTGGTTCGCAACCCGATTCGTGCTAGTGCTGTAGACTAGTTTTTTTCCTGAGTCTTTGGTTTCTTTGTCTTTTGCTCTAGACACCAATAATTCTATCTTATATAGCTGCTCAACAACAACAATATAGCTGTTAGCAGGTCTTTAAGACCCCAGACATTCTTCACCAGATTAGTATGTAGAACATAGTAAACCTCATGAATTATGCCAGTTGATTGAGTTGTCCCATGAGCCTATAGTTCTTATCCTTCAAACTCAGAAACCCAAGTCTGTGAGGTGTTTAGTTATGTCCAAGAAGCAGCCATAACTGTGCCCCCTTCTGTGCTGTATTATGTATAAAAATATATGTGCATGTCTACATGTATGTATGCGTACACACATACATATATGAGGGAGCTTTAAAGAGTTCAGGAAACACGGAATTAAAAGATAATGAAATTTTTCAGTTATGGTGCTGTAGGATAAATGCAGGATTGCAAAGTCAGTTAGAGCCGCAAGGTGAGTGGTTCAAACTTACCAGCCCCTCCTCGGAAACTCTACACTGGGTAACTATGAGTCAGAACCGACTCAACATCACTTAGTGACGAGAACAACATACATACCTATGAGTATGCATATATATATATAAACATTTGTGTGTGTATGTGTGTGTGTATATATATTGTATATATATATATGTATACACATATATTGTGTTTATATATTGTGTGTATATATATATATCTATAAGGAACTCTAGTAGCGTAGTGGTTACGAATCGGGCTGCGAACCTTAGGGTCAGCGGTTCGAAACTACCAGCCGCTCCGCGGGAGAAAGATGAGGCTTTCTACTCCCGTAAAGATTTACACCCTTGGAAACCCTGTACAGGGTTGCTATGGGTCGGACCCGACTCGATGGCACTTAACAACAACAACAATATACATACACACACATACACATATAAGCATATGTGTGTGTATATATATAAGCTCTGGTAGTGTAGTGGTTACGAATCGGGCTGTGAACCACAAGGTCAGCAGTTCGAAACTACCAGCTGCTCCGCGGGAGAAAGATGAGGCGTTCTGCTCCCGTAAAGATTAACAGCCTCGGAAACCCTGTGCAGGGTCGCTATGAGTTGGAACTGACTCCACGGCACATAACAACAACAACAATATATATATATATATAAATGTTTGTATATATACAGACACACACATATATATAAGGAGCTCTAGAAGCGTAGTGGAGTCCTGGTGAGTCACTGTGGGATAAAACGCTGGACCTCAAGGTCGATTTGAACCACAAGGTTGGTGGTTCGGACTCACTAGCTGCTACTTGGAAACCCTATATAGGGTTGCTATGAGTTAGAACTGACTCAGTGGCACTTAAGAGCAACAGCAATAGCGTAGTAGTTACAAGTTGGGCTGCTAACCTCAAGGTCAGCAGTTTGAAATTACCAGCTGTTCCAGGGGAGAAAGATGAGGCTTTCTGCTCCCATAAAGATTTGTAGCCTTGGAAACCCTATACAGGGTCGCTGTGAGTAGGAACCAACTCCATAGCACAAAACCTCTACCACCATATGCACACACCATGTATATATACATATATACATATACACATATATGCACATATACCATACACACACATACATATATATAGTTATTGTTGAGTGCCATGGAGTCAGTTCCAGCCCACAGCAATACTGTCAGGGTTTCCTAGGAATGACTTGTGAGCTTGAACCACTGACACCTTGCGGTTTAAACTGACTCTGCAGTCCGGTGCATTAACCCACTACACCACAGCAGGACTATATATTGGTTTGTTTGCTATTGCAAAATTATGTATGTCACAGCAATTACAAGAAGGTCTTTTTTTGTGATTGGTTGATAATCTTACTATTCAGTGTTATAAATTCTTTTTCAAAATCACCTTAGGCTAATCATAGATTGAGAGAGGTGGAATCATTGCCTATTAATGAAATACTTTCTCAAGGGTATTGTTCTGTGTGATGATTTACCATGGGAAGTATAAAGTATAGACAGAAATATAGTCTGGCTCCTCTTGTCTAGTAGAGCACTTTTAAGAATCTAATAGGTCTGGCTGAAAAGGGTGATTTGGGGCATGACAAGTAGGAAACAAGGGGAAAATGGTAGCAGAAGTCATGTGTTAAGATAATAAATAGGTCATTGTTTTGAAGGATAAGAGATGTTTTATTATTCATATTATTTTTTATTAGAGAAGAGAGTAAAGACCAGTGAAGACATCTGGCTACACCCTTTATTTGGGACCCTGATGGATGAATTTTTGCCTGATTGTTAATGTAAATTGAAATATATATGTAGAAAAAAAGTATGAGGGAGCTTCAAAAGTTTGAAAAAGATTCAAGTATCTTTTCATTCAGTTTTTCCATGAACATTTTGAATCCCCATTGTATGTATGCATTCATATGTGCACATATGCATATACAGTAGTATATCATAGGTCAATATTACACAAAGTGATCTCCAAATTGCTGCTGGTCTATAAAGTGTTTTTGGTTTGTGTTCAGAAGAGAGATTGACAGTAAGTATATAGAAACTTTTATTGCAATTTGATGTTACTATGACTTTAAAAAAAATTGTACAGAATGACTAGTCTGTGATGAATTGTAGACTTTAAGCAGTTTTCTAAATGATCAAATACTCGTGCATTCATTGCTTAAGAATAAAAGTCATGAAAATTCATCTAGTAAAGAAAAAGAATGTTGTAGTTACTTACCGATGTTCGGTGCATTTGAGTAGGCATCGACTCATAGGGATCCTGTGTCTAATGGAATGACATTTTACCAGGTCCTGTGCCATCATAATTGTTGCTGTGTTTGAGATTCCTGTAGCAGCCACTGTGCCAGTTCATCTCATTAAGGATCTTTCTCTTTTACTGACCCTATACTTTTCCAAGCATAATATTCTTCTGTAGGATTGGTGCCCCCTAATGACGACTCGATGGCACTTAACAACAACAACAACAACAATAACATGTCCAAAGTAAGTGAAATAAGATGATGTCTCGCCATCCTCACTTCTAAGAATCAGTCTGGGTTTAGTTCTTTCAAGATAGCTTTGTTCATTCTTCTGACAGTCCATTGTTGTTAAGTGCTGTCAAATTGGTTTAATTCTTACCCTGTATGGGGTTTCCAGGAATCAGGGGCTGGTGAATTTGAGTTGCTGATCTTGTTAGGAGCCCCGTTTTTATTCTGTAGTGGCACACCAGGACTCCTGACAGTTCCTGGTACATTTACTATTCACAGTATGTTGTTGTTGTCACTAAGCGACATTGAGTCATTTCCTACCCATAGCAACTCTATAGGGTTTCCAAGGAGTGGCTGGTGAGCTTGAACCACTGACCTTGCAGTTCAGGCTGACATTGCAGTCCAGTGCATTTACCCACAACACCACAACAGGACTCCACTCATAGTTTATTCATGATTGATTCAATATTCTTTGCCAGCACCACAGAAAAAATATACCTTGTATTCACGCATTGATTTGTTTTATGCAGGGTGTGGCTGGGAATCCTATGGTGAAATCTGTGCTTGATAAAACCAAACATTCGGTAGAAAGCATGATTACAACGCTGGATCCTGGCATGGCTCCATATATCAGTATGTACTTACATTAAATCAGCGTGTGCCCTTTTTTTTTTTTTTTTCAAAGTATGTGTCAATGTCAACCACTAATTGTAATTTTCAGGTCATTTCCCTAGGTCATAATAATCAATAGAATGTCTGTCATATTCTTGCATTAAGTTGATTGCCTTAGGTTACTGGTGTGGTGGTATCAGTCATCTTATAGTCACCATTAAATAGATTATGAGAATACTGCAGAATGAACATTGGAGAAGTGAAAAAATATATGAATTATTAGTGCATTTACTTCTTTTAATTATAATAATGAGTTGTTGTTAAGTGCTGTAAGTCTGTTCTGACTTCTAGTGACCCTATATAGGGTTTCTGAGGAGTAGCTAGTGGGTTATAACCGTAGACCTTATGGTCAGCAGTCTAGTGCTTATCCTACAGCACCATACCAGGAATCTAAATAATGGGTTATTGTTGTTAAGTGCCATTTAGTTGGTTCTGACTCAGAGCCAGCCTTTGTAGTGTTTTTGAGGATCAGCTGATGGATTTAAACCATTGACCTTTTGGTTAGCAGTCCATTGCTTATCTTACAGTGCCATACCAAGGAGGAGTAAAAAAAGATGAATTACTAGTACACTTAGTGTTTCTGATTGTAATAATGGGTTATTGATAAGTGTCGTTGAGTTGGTTCTGATCCTGTTTTAGGGTTTATGAGGAGCAGCTGGTAGGTTTGAACCACTGACCTTGTTCACACCAGGAGTCCAATAATAACTATTGTATATTTGTTTTGTTATTGTTAAATGTCATTGAGTCAGTTCTGATTTATAGCAATGCTGTAAAGTGTTTTTAAGGAGTGCCTGGAGGATTTAAACCACCCATCTTGTGGTTCAAGCTGACCTTGCAGTCCAGTGCTTTACATGAATTTTACTTTATCTTCTTTTCACATTTGAAGGGGAAGCTTTGTTCATATTTGGTTTTGACATTTCTCCAGTGATCTATTTGAAATAAATGTACTTATGCTTAATTCAGGAGTAATATTTTCAGAGGAAATGAATTTACTTGCTAATATCTGAATGCTAGGTTTATTGGGAAAACTATTTTAAACCACCTCTGAACCATCTTCAAGTATTCTCTGTTGATATAGAAATTCTGTCTGCTGTTTAATTTTTATCTGTCACATGGTGTATTTCTCAAAAGTAATTTATTTTACAACTTTTGGTTTCAGTTGAGATTGTTTTGCTACTAAGACTATTACAGACTTAGGATGGAGACAAAAGTAGCAAAAACCATCCTGGCCCCATTCCTTCTCTTCTCCCAGATACTAAATGGGGGAAAACTCTAATTCTTATACTTGTGTTGTACATAACACGTGCTCATTCTCTGCTTGGGAGTATGACATGAAGGATTGAGATCCTCAGCTCACACTTGTGAGCAAACATTAGTCTTTCTCTCTTTCTCAGCCTGTAATTTTTATAGTTCCTACTTAACTAATTTTTAAAACAGATTAGTATGCAGGGGAGAGAAAAGAAAAACCAATTTACACTTTCAGGTTTAAGAATTAACACTTAAACCTGCTTTTCCAAGAGTATATAACATTTAACAAATGTGGAGGTCACGTGTTCCATTCACTTGCTACAAATCCAACAATTGGTTCTGGCATTATTTGGTCAAGGCATTATCCCAGTGCTCTAAGAAATCTTGGCTCAACTTGATTAAATTCTGTATTCTTTTTTTATCCCATTGTAGGACAGACATTTACCAGTTGTGTCAAGCACAGGGAAGAGTTAGGGAACATTGTCTTGTAAATGAATCTAGTAGTGAATGTGATCCTTTTATAGAACTATAGATACAAACAGCTGAAAAACTAAAGGAGAAATGTGTCTTAAGGTTATACATGAATAACGAAGACAGAAGAATGCCTTTGTATTGTGGTGCTGATGAAAAATATTAAATATACCATGGACTGTCAGAAGAATGAACAAATCTGTCTAAGTAGAAGTACAGCCAGAATGAATCTTACAAGTGAGGATGGTGAGACTTAAGTTACATACTTAGGGCATGTTATCCAGAGAGACGAGCTCCTGAAAAAGGACATCATGCTTGCTAGAGAATCAGAAAAAAAGGAAGACTCTAAACGAGATGAATTGATGCATTGACTGCAGCAGTGGGTTCAAACATAACAGGGATTGTGAGGATAGCTCAACACTGGGCAGTGTACATGGGGTCACTATGAGTCGGAATTGACTTGAGGGTGTCTAACAACAACATAGCTTAACATTGTCAGTGACCAATTATTAACAGGCCTGAAGAAAATAACATATCACTTAATAACAACAAGTGTAACACTTAACAGTTGTTAAGTGCCATAGAGTTTGTTTCGACACATAACAACCCAGTATAGGGTTTCCAGGGGCTGGCTGGTGAGTTTGAACTGCCTACTTTGTGGCAGTCTAGTGCTTATTCTACAGTGCCACACCAGGGCTTGGCATTGTTGATAATTTACTGTTTAGTAAATGTTGAAGGACAAGCCCTAATAACAATAAGTACCATTTATTAAATACTTTGCCAGGCACTAATTCTCATAGGGACTCTGCAAGGTAGGAATTTTCCTTGAGTTTTAGATGAGAAATCTGTCTTCAAAGAAATTTATTATCCTCACAACACGATGTAACTAGATTGAACTTAGATGCATTTCTTTTATACTTCATTGCTTTTCTCTTTGAAGTTGAAAAATGAACCAAGAATTAAATCAGCTGAATTGTATTTTGTGTTTGTAATTATCCAGAAGGATTCAGAAATTTGGCTGTACCATCTCTTGATTTCATATATTCATAGTAATCAGGTATGACATATTTAATAAACATCATACACATTTTTTTTTTTTCAAAAGTATTGAATAAAGGAAGGAAAGGAATTAAAATCTGTGGAAGGCTTGCTGCTAGCTTGTTAACAAAGTTTAGACTTTGAAAAAACGTATTTAATCTTGAAAGCCTACCTGTGAGTTTGAAAGTATTTTTCTATGAAGAAACAAGTTCAGTGACTTCCCACAGTAACATAGCTAGGAAATGATAACGCCAGGACTCATGCCCAAGACCAGCTGCTTCTCAAGCTAGTGAACTGTCACAACTTGAAAAAGGCAGAGAACCAAGGGGAAAAAAAAGTAATGGAATTTCTGTTCTTTTAAAATTTCAGTTTATAATAGCATATATTCTTATTTAGGTTTGAAAAATAATAAAACTGATAAAGTTGACATTTCATTGACAGGTAGCAAAAGCAAGACCATTCTGATCTAGGGATCTCAAAACAAAGTATTTTTACACAAACTATGTAGAAATCTCTTGATTTAACAATTATAATTGTATCAGTATTGCCCATGAACTGTTAAAAATCGAGTTAACATTGTTTTAACTGTATATTCTTTTCCTCTCCACTATCATGTTGATTTTGTGAATTTAATAATTATGTAAATAAAATGCAGGCATATGGTATGGCAGTAATTATAACAATTTGATTATTTGACAGTGAAATTTTCATCTGGTCTTTGTAGAATCAGGAGGTGAATTGGATATCGTAGTGACCTCAAATAAGGAGGTGAAAGTCGCTGCTGTCCGAGATGCCTTCCAGGAGGTCTTTGGTTTAGCTGTTGTGGTAGGTGAAGCTGGACAGTCCAACATTGCACCACAACCAGTGGGCTATGCAGCTGGATTAAAGGTGAGTAACGGAATACCTTTTTAGGGTATGGAAACTGGCAGTTAATGCTTTTTCCTTTCTCATAATCTGTTTTATATGGAACAGAAAAATCTTATGTTTTAATGAGTTTTAACAGATGGTGAGTACATTTCCTTGAAGGTCTAAAGCAAGGTCTTTCTGTAAGTTTGAAAGCATTGCATAAATGTAACATTTGGTTGCTACTGTACTGACAGTACTATAAATAAGGAATTTGTTAGTTTGAATCTGTGATAAAAGATATTTGAGTCTAAGGGTTAGAATTTGAAAATGTTATATGAGAAAAATTAGAATTTATGTTCCAGTTTGAGAAAATATTATGGCAATTTGGCCTGTAGAATTTGTTGATACCAAGGTTTCTGTTATTTAGAACTAAGCCCTGAACTAAGAGCTTTGAATAAGAAGGAAAAGGCAATAGGGGGAATTTATGAAGATGGTATTTAATATTAACTTTGAAGAGAAGGGGAAGAGTTTATAAAACATAAATAGTACAAATAAAAATAAATTTAGATATTAGATGACCAATGTTGTTATTAAGTATTGCTGATATGTAATTGTTTTTAAGTACTGCCAAGTTGGTTCTGACTCACAGCGACCTTCTATAGGAATTTGAAGGAGTGGCTGGTGTGTTTGAACCATAATCCTTGTGGTTAGCAGTTCAGTACTTATCCTCCAGCACCACACCAGGTCCCTAGATGACCGTGTGAAGATTGTGCTTTTTCATTATGATTTTAAAAACATACTAGGATAAGTGAAAAAGTATTGCTGCTAAGATTCATTCATGCCTAGATTTAATCCAAACAAAACATGTTCAAACATGTCTCTATGATCACTGGATGACTGTAGACCAGTTCTCTAAGTAATAAGCTTGTCTTAGTTTCATTAGGGTGCCCTCAAAAAAAAAAAAATCAAAAGGCCAATCAAAACAGTAGCTTCCAAGGGATCTGCTGAGCCAGTTAAATTCAAGGTAGTATATGAGTTTAGACGGAGAATGTGATGAGAAACACTAGCTTCATATTTTGGTATTTTTATTTTAATAAAAGTTTCTATCACTTTGTTACAATACTTTTTAACTCATGTTTTGTTACATTAAATACTATTTACACGATTGATAGATAATGAAGCTAATGGAATTATTTAAGAAAAACCTTATTTTATGGATATTTTTAATAGATTTATCTTATGAATTTATTAATGTTTGGCAGATTTATTTTATTATGGGCCTTGCTCTCCAAATTTAAGCATGTTGGGATATCTTTTCCTCAATCTTTCATATCAGTAAAATTTATTGACATTTGTTAGACACTGTACTAGACCTTGGAGTTAGAATGGTGATTGAAAAATAACATGATTCTGATTTTGTTGTGTAAATAGTATCTTCTTGCATCTTTATAACCTCCTATCCTGGTGTGGCGCTGTGGGTTAATGCGCCAGACTGCAAAGCTGTTGAAACTGTAAGATTGGTGGTTCAAGCTCACCCAGCTGCTCCTCCAAAACACTATACAGGGTTGCTGTGGGTTGGAATCAACTTGAAAGCACTTAACAACATTTTAAATGGCTTTGTCTTAGCGCATACATTGTTGCTTTGTCCTCATCTCAATTGTCTCTTAGAAGGAAGTCCTAGTCTGCATTTCATGGAGCACTTGATCTCATTCTTACTATTCAGCTTCATTTTTTGCATGAAAAATAGATCTATTATTTATTATTCATGACTAGTTTTGTTCAGAAATAGATTTTTCTCTTGCTTTTTGAACACATTTTAACTTCATTCATAGATTATTAATTATGAAATGATTCAGACGAAAATAATAAATGGCAACTTTCTCTTCACTAATCCAATTCTAGTTTTTTATTATAAGAAACCTATTTAATACATGGTTTTGACTTATCTGTGCACTGTCCTCAGCTTCTCTCTGTTATTTCATTAATGGTAATACTTTTCATGAATCAGCTTTAGTGTAATGTATGCTGTAGGTTTTTTTTTAACTTTTAATTAACTGGACATTTTGTTGCATGGTTTTAGGTTATATTGAAGGGAACTAGATATAAAAGAATAAAACATATTTACAGTTATTGCCTACATAAGCATTTGACCTCAAGGTCGGTTTGAGCTGCAGGGTAGATGGTTCAAACTCACCAGCAGTTCCACAAAGACCCTACTCAGGGTCGCTGTGAGTTGGAACCAACTCAGTGTCACTGTCACTTAACAACAATATAAAAACTCTAATGTAATCAACTAAACCATTGAAAGGAATGATAAGATCAGTAAGATGGCTGTTTGCTAGATCAATTTTTTTTAATTCATATTTTTATATTAGTGGTACACATTTAGAAAATGTAATGTCAAAATGATCTTGTTCACAATAGCAACCCAAATAATAATTTATATAGCAATAATTTAGAAGGTACATCCCAAACTCTGAATACTGAAGCAGGGGGAGACTGGGTTTTTATCTTGCTACTCCATGCACTTTGCTTATCTATTATTTGAATGTTCATAATGAGTATGTTTGTGTTTGTATATATATGTCTTGTATAATAAGTATATTTAATATTGAATAACTTGAAATGGCTTTCTAACCCATGTTGTTGTTTGTTGTTATTCAGGGAGCCCAGGAACGAATAGATAGCTTACGTCGATCTGGAGTGATTCATGAAAAACAAACTGCTGTGTCAGTAGAAAACTTCATTGCAGAATTGTTACCTGACAAGTAAGAAGCTTAACTATATTTCTCTTGAACGCAAAAAAAAAAAAGTATAGGGGCTTCACATTGAAATACCTCACAAAATGTATATCCAATTATAGAAACAGAGAAAAGAATACTCTGGTGCTAGCTGTATCACTTTACTAGCTATGTAGCCTGGGGCAGACCAGGGGATATTTCTATCCTTTTTTCTCTTTTATAAAATGAAGATAGTAATACCTGCTTTCTAAGATTGTACTGATGCTCAATTAATGCATTCTTAGTATCCAGTGGTCTATTGATTTAGATATAATTGGCACTATGGGTTAATGCGCTGGACTGCAAAGTCTGTTTGAACTGCAAGTTTGGCGGTTTAAGTGCATCAGCAGCTCCTCAGAAACCCTATACAGGGTCTCTGTGGTACGGAACTGACTTGACAGCACTTAACAATAACAATAACAAATAGAATGATTCATAGTCATTTGGAGTAATGGAAAGTATGGGAAAGAGGATTTGCTGTGATAGTCACCAGTAACAAAATCCATCATTGTTTTTGAGGATTCCATAATTTCAATAGATTACTTATCTATTATATTATTGATCATTTGAACCTCTTTCTGTAGGTTTTGAATTGTTTCCAATGCTGTATCTATCTTATTTGATTGTTCTATAGCACTTAGTTTTCTCAGCTCCATTGTAAAGTGTTTTGAAGCAATTTATAATCATTTTTCTGAATTCCTTCTCAGGTATTTCCAAGGCCTTCCCTCCTTCCATAATGGAGTCCAGGTCTACCTCTAGGTCATTTGTCTTAGACATTTTATCTTGTTTCTGGACATGTGCTAATATGGTCATCTGCTTTTGTTTCTTGGACATGATTAGTGTTTATGTGTGGCCTTAATACTTAATTGAGTATGTGTTTTGGTATTTTATGCTTTCTGATTGCTTCCAGGTAGATGTGATCAGGATGTGGGCTTCCCTTTTCACTCTTCTTATTGCTTAACTCTGAGTAACTTTCACAGGTGTTGTCTGCCTCCTTGGTATATGGCAGTTGGTGGTTCGTGCTTGGATTTTGGTGTTTTATAGAGTGTGATTGTAGCTTGGCTATATGGCAGCAGTTGCTGTCTCTTCTTGGGTAATACAGGGAGAGCAAGAGTCCCCCAAAGGTAAAAGGGGGAGCATAAAACAGCATTCTTATCAATGGAGAAAAGATTGAAGTTGTCAAGGACTTCATTCTTCTTGGATCAACTGTCAACACTCGCGGAAGCAGCAGTCAAGAGATCAGACGATGCATTGCATTGGGCAAATCTGCTGCACAAGACCTTTTTAAAGTATTGAAGAGCAGAGATGTCAGCTTGAGGACTAAGGTGTGCCTGACCCAAGCCATGGTATTTTCAGTAACCTCATATGGATGCAAAAGCTGGACAGTGAATAAGGAAGATTGTAGAAGAATTGATGATGCCTTTGAGTTGTGGTTTTGGAGGAGAATACTGAAAGTGCCATGGACTGCCAAATGAACCAATAGATCTGTTTTGGAAGAAGTGCAACCAGAGTGCTCCTTGGAGGCCAAGATGGCTAGGCTTTGTCTCTCCTACTTTGGACACATTGTCTGGAGAGAACAGTCGCTGGAGAAGGATGTCATGCTGGGTAAGGTGGAGGGTCAGAGAAAAAGAGGAAGACCACCAACAAGATGGATCAGCCAGATGGCATCAAGTGTGGCGGCGGTAGTGAAGTTGGCTCAGGATCGGACATTGTTTCGTTCTCCTGTGCATGGGGTCACTATGAGTCGGTTCCGACTCGATGGCACCTGACAACAACAACAAAACAGCAACAGCCAAAAAAAAAAAGAAAAAACACCAAAAAAACTAGACTGGATATTATCGTCTATAATTGCAGAGAAGGGGGGAAAAAAAATCTGTAGCTTAAGATGACTATAATTTTAAGTCCTCTTTCAGCTTCTTGCCTTCAGAGATGCCTGAGAGATTTCAAGATGACACTGTTGGTTGTTTTGCTGTACCTCAGGATTTAATTTAATTTTAGGCCTGTTTTGTTTTTAAACTCTCTTTCCAACTCCACACCCCTTGTTCTGGCTTTTCTGTTTTTTTTTAAAAAAAAAAAAACAAAACAAAACAGTTCAGTGCTGGCTCTTGGGCTAAGAGTATCTGTGCGCACGCGTGGCAGAAGAATCCACCGATGGTGAGGGTGGAGGGTATCCACTTGCTCAGGCACTTCTGGTCACCAGAATGGAGGTGCGCAAACAGTGGGGGCCCAATGAACAGATACCAAAAAAAAGAAAATCAGAAGAAAGCAAAACCAACAAAGTGTATTGTCCACCTTTGCTTGGAGGTCCCCACGGCAGTTTTTCTGCAGTGTGTCTGCTCCCCCACTTGGTCTTGGCATTTTTGTCTCGCCCAAGTTGTCGGCTCTGCAGATTGATTTCTTTTTTTGCTATAAGTTCCACTATCGATAAGCCTTCAAAACTTTTAAATATTCCTAACTATGTGGTTCCGAATTTTGGAACTCTGCCCTGGATTTGCTTTGCCTGGTATTCTGTGGTATTGCTGATGGCAAACATCACTGCACCTCCACCCTAGCTGCCATCAAGCCCCGCCTTTAAATAGATTACTTTCCAATGGGAGATTTTCTTTTACACACTGAATTGATTTACATTAGAGTAACTTTCCAGCTGTTGAAATCTACCTTCTTTATTGTTATTTATTTTCTTAGTGTATTTAGTATGGAATAACACTGTACCTGTAGTTTAAGCAAATATCAGAATACCAGACTTGTTGGTGAGTCAGTTCTGACTTACATTGACCCTAAAGGACAGAACAGAATTGCCCCAAAGAGTTTCCAAGTCTGTAATCTTTACAGAAGTAGACTGCCACATTTTTCTCATGTGGAATGGTTGGTAGGTTTAAACTGCCAGCCTTTTGGTTACCTGCCGAGTGTGTTACCTACTTTGCCACAAAGGCTCCTCTTTGTGACTTTAACCCACTGCCATTGGGTTGATTCAAACTCATAGTGGCTCTGTATGGAGACTCTGAGACTTAAATTTTTACAAGAGCAGAAAATTTCATTTTTCTCATGGAGCAGCTGGTGGCTTTGAACTACTGACCTTGTGGTTAGCAGTTTCAGTGCTTAATCTATGGTCCCACCATGGCTAATATATTTTCTCAGTTCTCCAGCTCTGAGAATAGGCAATATACACATAGATGAGCAGCTGTTAAACTTTGAATAGTTTAAATAGCTGTATTAAGAAGAGATGTAATTTTTTTTTTACCAGTAATATATAAAAGTTCAGTGGAGATTATTTGTTGTGGAGGTAGTATTGATAAGATTCATAAATTACTAGGGCTTGAACTGAGTTTTGAAAAGTGAGTTTGGGTAAGGAGAAAAGAGCAGGTAAGATACTCTGGGTGGAGGAGAAGCTTTGTATTTGTTAGAAAAGGAAATCAAGAAGTGGCATGGGGAAGCATTGTGAAGCTTTGAATGCTGAGTCGAGAAGTTTATACTTTGTAAGTGCTGCTGAAGCATTATTCAGAGATGATTGTTTCATTTCCCCCATACCCACCCCATTAACCTTTTACTATTCTATTAATGCTTATGCTAGAGATGACACATTATAATATAAATCATTACTTTATTGCTTTCCGGATGATACCGCAACTTTAGAACACTTGTAACACCATTTACTCCCTTATATCTTCTGGAGCATTGTTGTTATGCATGTTAAGTAGGCATATATTTTAAACGCCTAAGAGTCCTGGTGTGGTACTTTAGGATAGCACTGGCCTACTGACCCCAGGGCCAGTGGTTCAAACCTACCAGCAGGGTTGCTATGAGTCAGAATTCCATGACAATTAGCAACAAGATATACTAGGAGTGCTGGAGGTGCTATAGGGTAAGCACTGTACTGTTAAATCAAGTTTGGATGTTCAAAACTACCAACCACTTTACAGGAGATAGATGAGGCTTTCCGTACCCATAAGAATTTACATCCTTGGAAATCCTACACAGTGCCACTGAGTCAGAACTGATTTGAGGGCATCTAACAACTCTGGCGTTGCAGGATAATGCACTGGACCTCAAGGTCAGTTTGAACCACAAAGTTGGTGGTTCAAACTCACTAACTGCTCCTAGGAAACCCTTTGACAGAATCACTATGAGTCAGAACGGACTCGACGGAATTTAACAACAGCAACTATACAAGGATTGCTATTGGTCGGAACTTACTCAATGGCATTTAACAATAACAACAAGATATTACTAGTATGTTACATGTACAGTGTTCATTTACATTTATCCCCTGAATTTCATTTTGTATTTTTGTTTGTCTAGGATTATTTTCTTTATGCTTAAAGAACTTTGTTGTACTTATTATTTAGGACTGTGGGCATCAAATGCTCTTAATTGTTATTTGTTTGAAAGTACCTTATAAGTCACCTTTACTTTTTTTTTTTTTCAGTTTTGCTTTTGAAGGATGTTTTTGTTGGATGTTGAAGTCTAGTTTCGCAATTCCTTTCTTTTAGCACGTTAAAGATATTACTGAGTTGTTTTTTGACTTCTGTCATTTCTATTAAGAAATGCATTGTCAATCTATATATATAATCCTATTGTTTCTGTGAAGGTAATGTACTTTTTTCTTCTACTGTCTGCAGTTGGGCTTTTCTGTCATTTTAATTTTACAGTTTTACTAGATATGGTTGCTTTGTTTTTGGATTGATTTGGTGTATGTGTGTAGATTCAATGAACTTTGTGACTTTTTTGATGTCTTTCATCAGTTCTTGAAAATTCTTAGCTTTTATCTCATCACAGATTCCTTCTGCCCCATTTTTTCTTCCCTCTCTTTCTAGATCTCCAGTTACATGTTATTGGATGTAACATAATCCATGTATGTTTTTCACATTTCTTTCATTGTAAATTCTTTCTCATTCTACCCTCCCCCTCCCCACCTGCCCCATTTCTCTCTCTTCTTCAGTTTGGCATTTTCTATTCATCTGTCTTCATGTTCACTAGTTCTGACTTCT